GTGTGGATCACAACAAACTGTGGAGAATTCTTCAAGAGATGGGAATACCAGACCACCTGACCTGCCTCCTGAGAAATCTGTATGCAGGTCAAGAAGCAACAGTTAGAACTGGACATGGAACAACAGACTGGTTCCAAATAGGAAAAGGATTATGCCAAGGCTGTATGGTACAGAATCCACCCGCCAGTGTAGGAGACATGGGTTTGATCCCTGGGTTGAGAAGACACCCCGGAGAAGCAAATGGCACCCTCTCCAGTATTCTTGCCTGGGAAATTTCATAGACAGAGAAGGCTGGTGACTATAGTCCATGGGGTCACAAAGAATCAGACACAAAGAATCAGACTCAGTGACTTAGCAACAATATCATCTTAAATGAAAAGAATGCAAAGTCATTTTGAAACACTCATTATCATCCCTACTGATAACTCCATTCTCTGGTCCATTAGGACTGTTCTTTACTTAATACTTAGCTGAATTTGAAAGTGTTCTCCTTTTTGGAAAAACTGGAATAATATCTATTTAACAGATGGTGTCTCTTGATAGTCTAGCTTAGTAAGCCTTCTAATATCTCTTTTTCTAAATAATAATTTATGAAGCACTTTCCTCTGCAAGAATTCTTCTTTGTATTTTTGTTGCTGCTTTTTAAAAAACAAGAATTCCTAACCTCAAAAGAGATTTTTTTCTCCTAAGAGAAAAGTAACTTCACATTGCATAGAGTTTTTATGTAGAAATCTATGGAATATAGCTGGTTATTTTTTTCTATTTTTTTGGTCAGGACAAATAGATAATTGTTGATCTTGGGAACTTGCCTCCTAACATTTTTCTATTTGCCATTTCACGTCCATGTATTTTTAATATTCTTTACCAACCCAAACAGCCAAATTTAGCTTTCATGTTGCTGGCCACATTTTATGAATTTGACATGGGTTTCCAAATTCAATGTCAAGATGCATATGCTTTGAATTATCTTTTGAAAATGGCTAAGCTTACCATAGCTTTTGAAAAATGGTATCAGGTTATCCACACCCTCTTGTGACTCATTCCTGGCTTATCAGAAAGGGCATCATACTTGAAACTATAGCCAGGGCTGCAATCAGGATACAAACAACTTTCTCCCAAAAGAAGCTAAATGGACTATAGAATAATTTTATTTCACTGTCTTTACTAAACAACTCAGTCTAAACTAACAAGCTTTGGAACATGATTCATACAGTTATATAATGAAATATGAGCCATTTAGGAATTTTTTTAGTGTTGATCCATATGCAGATTGTGGAGCTATTTTAATAAAGAACTGATGGTAAGTAGAATCAGACACAAAATTGAGAACCTTAGGAATGATCCAACCAACTCTTCAGGAATTTCTTATCAACATCTCTTGCATACAGCAGAAATTAATACAGCATCATAAAGCAATTATATGCCAATAATAAAATTAAAAAAAAACTTATAAAAAAATATCCCTTGCAGGTGATGGCCCAACTTCTGTAAAGTGTTACTCACGTAAGTTCATTCTTCCCAGTCCTGGAGAAGTTCCCTTGTTAGGAAGTTATTTCTTTTTTCTGAGTAAAAACATACCTCTGTAACTTCCATCTTAGTGCAAGATTCTTTAAACAAAGAATGAACCAATGTTACTCACTCAGCAGGGCTTCCCTGGTGGCTAAAGAATTAGCGGGAAAGAATCCAGCTGCATTGCAGGAGACCACCTGCACTGCATGTGACACAGACTGGACCCCTGGGTCAGGAAGATGCCCTGGAGGAGGAGACAGCAACCCACTCTAGTATTCTTCCCTGGTGGCTCAGAGGTTAAAGCATCTGCCTGCAATGGGGGAGACCCAGGTTCGATCCCTGGGTCGGGAAGATCCCCTGGAGAAGGAAATGGCNAGCAAAAGCATGCTGTGCTGTGCTTAGATGCTCAGTCGTGTCCAACTCTCTGTGACCCCATGGACTGTATAGCCCGCCAGGCTCCTCCGTCCATGGAATTCTCCAGACAAGAATACTAGAGTGGGTTGCCAAGCCCTCCTCCAGGGGATCTTCCCAACCCAGGGATTGAACACAAGTCTCCCACAATGCAGGCAGATTCTTTACCATCTGAGCCACCAAGAAAGCCCCAACCAACAGGGTGTATTGTCTAATTCAGCAGGCAGGACGTAGAATCTAAGCAGAATGAATGATAATGGATACAAAGAAATCCAGGCAGGAAGTGAGAAGCAGGGGTGCCCATGATGTTATTGGTATCTCAGGCACATGCTTTACAAAGATGCAGCCATTCAGACTAGAACCACAAACTGAACATGGTTATACTTATGGCCCCACTGGCAATGGTTATGTCTCAGTTTTGAAAACTCAGTCTGTCTTTACAAATGCAGATTTCCTGAGGGCAGGATTTGTGTTCTTTGAAATGATGAGGAGCCAAAAAATTTTCCCCAATTATTTGAGCTCTGTGGGTCAGTTATCCTTGACTTCACTTTCTCATAGAAAGTTTCTTCCATCTTCTCATAGAAACAGAACATAACTGACAAGCTGCGGATCAGTTGAGACAAGTTAGCTCCATTAATGAAGGGGGTTTCCTCAGAACCCTGGTGATCAGTGTTTGCCTTGATAAGATTTTCCAATTGTTGAAAAATATTTTACTAACCAAGAAAGCTAACACTTTATTGAAGTGATTGTACTTTGATTTGAAAAGAAAGCTTAGAAGGGTGGGACTCTGGGAAGAAGAAGGAATGAAGAAATCTGAGTTGTTTTCTTGTCTCTGTTGCTAGTTCTGTGTCCCCTTGGTCACACAGCATATTAGACTCCACAAGCATAGAGGGGACTTAAAGAGGCATCTGGTTTAACACGTTGCCCAATTTAGCTTTCATTTCAACAATAAAGTTTCTTTAAGCCCATACATACCTACAGGATCATAGCAACAGCGGTTCAGAAATAGTATAAACAATTTTCCCCCAAGGAGCAATAATGGAGGTGATCACATCTGTGAGGACACCAGACACTTTCTTGACTTCACTTTTTTTGGCATTCATGATAAGGTTTTAAAAGAGCCACAGGGAGAATGCAAACAATAACATTTAAGAGGGAAATCGTGTCTGAGATGAACACTAACATTGGGAAGGAGAAAAGAGACAAGGGCTTAGACTACTTTAACATTTTTGGTTTGGGATTAACACAAATTTTGGTTTTCTGTAGACTCCACTGTTTGCAAATATGCATAATATTAACACACCATTACCAGACCAAAAGAAAAAAAAAAAAAGGAAGCTGAAAGAAGACAGTATTTGGGAGTAACATGTTGGTAAATACTTAGCAAGGGAGGTGGGAATTCCCTGGTGGTCCAGAGTTTAGGACTCCATGCTTTCACTGTAGCCTGCATGGGTTAGATTCCCGGTCAGGGAACTGAGATCCTGCATGTGGCAAGATGTGGCCAAAAAACAATAAATAAAAAAACACTCAATTAAAAAAATAAAATAATGGTTAAAAAGTCTCAGGATGGGTGGTGGGCATGGGTATATATGCCAAATTAGAATTCTCTGTGAATATTGACAATTTTACGGCACTGGGAACTGGAAGATTGCCCTTATGCAAATATTTACTTGGCAAATGAAGCTTTATCTTACCTTCCATGACTTTAAACCAAAAGCCAAGTGATGAAAATATGGAAATGTCAAAATGTATTTCTGTATCAGACAGCAAATATTGGCCCCTACTATGTGCAACGGCATTGTGCCAAAGCACCATTCACTTCTGCATATATATTAGGATTTAGAAGTGAAGAAATCTTAAAATTCCTGCAAAATGTAAAGACTCTTCTTGCCTAAGTAATTGACACCATCATGAAAAACATCAACTACATAAATGACTTCAAGAAAAATAATTGAGGTTCACAGATATTTAGGGAAATGAAACAGTTGTCAACAATTACAGCCTTCCCATTTTGAAGTTGGTGGTTGCAACCCTTACTTTTAAAAATAGGTAATCTGGAAAAATTGAATAACATGCCATCTCATTTTCGTTTGAATAGAACGGTAGGATGAAAAGGACATGACTTATATAAAAGTGAAAAAGCAAAATGTGTCCATTTATTTTCATTAATTCAAAGTTAATCAAGTCTAGATTTATAAACTATTACATTTTTAAGGTGAGTTTTTGAATACTATAGTAAATCGGTTTTTTTCTCAGGGTGGAAGTAAAAACATGACATAAAGCTAAGGCCAATTAGTCAACATCTTACCTGGAGTTGCTCTTTGTTCTCTTCTCTTCTCTACTCTCCCTGCAATAAGAAATGGCAGATCAGTTGCAATATGCAGCCATGAGAAAATGATGTAACTAAGACAGAAGCCCAGTTTATCACAATTTCCAGACACAGTCACTAGGTCAGTCATTTTCAACATCTTTCCCGAGATGACTGGGCACAGAGAAGAGGGCTGAACAATATTTTCAAATCAATTTACAAAAGTCAAAAATTAATGAATATGCATTAAATATGCTGCTGGGTTTAAAAAATCTTGTTAGAACCATTTACTCAACAGTAAAACTAAGGGTGCAAACCCTACCCATAGACCAAATCCCCATGTTCCATGTGGGGGTAAACATGTAACTAAGATAAGACCATGCCCTCTTATGACCTACTTGGGAAGATAAAGGACAAACAATATAACATGAAACAAGATGCACCCTCGAAGGGTTTGTGGGTGAGTGCATGTGTGCTCAGTTATGTCTGACACTTTGAGATGCTGTGGACTGTAGCCCACCAGGCTCCTCTGTCCATGGTATAAATGTTTAAAATATTAGAGGGTAAAATGATTAGCTTTAAGAAATAAAGGGGTGCCCATGAAGTTATGGAGAAAACAGTATTTGATGTGAACCTTGAAGACATATGTCATTTGGGGAATTTTAAATGAGGAAAGGATTGATTCTTGACCAAAGAAATAGTATGGGTTCTGTGCATGCATGCATGCTACATCACTTCAGTCGTGTTTGACTCTGCGACCCCATGGACTGTAGCCGTCCGGGTTCCTCTGTCCATGGGATTCTCCAGGCAAGAATACTGGAGTGGGTTGCCATGCCTTCCTCCAGGGGACCTTCCTAACCCAGGCACTGAACATGTGTTTCTTACATCTCCTACACTGGCAAAGTGAAAGTGAAGTCGCTTAGTCATATCTGACTTTTTGCGACCCTATGGACTGTAGCCCACCAGGCTCCTCCATCCATGGGATTTTCCAGGCGAGAATACTAGTGTGGGTTGCCATTTCCTTCTCCAGGGGATCTTCCTGACCTAGGGATCAAAACAGGGTTTCCCGTATTGCAGGCGGACTCTTTACTGTCTGAAATCCCATTAGCAGGCAGGTCCTTTACCACTAGTGGTACCTGGGAAACCCTATGGGTTTTGTAGGACAGGCTACTTGAGCAAGAAGGCTCACCTTTAGGGCTTGCCTTAAGAACTCAAATGAAAAGACTTTTGTATAGGAGGAGGGCTATCTGAGAAGTTGGGCCAGAGGTAATGGGCTGAGTATGTCAGTGGGAACAAAGAGGAGGGAAGTGATGGGTGCAAAGAGGAGACGTCAGGAAGGCAGAGCTCATAGGGCCCAGGGGTTTACAAACTGTGAAGTGCAAGGGAAAAGGAAAGGTCAAAATGAATGGCTATCTAGGTGTCTCTGGGTGTGGTGATGCAATTCAGGGATATAGTAAACATGATCAGGATATGGGAATGATGAGTTCAGTTTTAGGCTTAATGACTTTGAAGTGCTACGGGGACTTGGAGTTTGGGAGGGCAATTGGAATTGAAATTACAGACGCAGAAAATGTCCATCTTAAGCAGGTGGCTGGAGCTGAAAGGGGAAATAGAAATATACAGGCAGACAGAACAGAGAGCCAGACTGAAGACAGGGACCAAGAAAGCAAAAAAAGTGATTTGTGCTTCATGACGGAGGATGAGGAGAAGACAGAGGAAGCAGGGCTCGAGACCAACTGAACAGAGTCAGGTACCACAAATAAAGTTTTAGGAAGTATGGAGTAGGGACTGCCAACAGCATCTGACGTGGCTGAGTTCACGAGGTTGTTGTTAAGACTGTGAGAGAGAAGTTTTAGCGGAGAAGGGGTGGGGAACACGAGAGGCCTTGAAGGTCTGCAGAGTAGTGGGTGATGAGGAAGATGAGGCTGAGGAGGAAATGACTTGTCCATGATACTTGCCAAACATGAGTGAGATGGGGTGATAATTTGAGCAGGAGTTAAGTCAGGTTTCTGGGATACCTTAGCATGTTTATGAGCTTAGATCAGAAGCTCTGCACCAGCGCAATGGTGTATGTAAATGCCCCTGTTGAGCCTTGATTCTGTGAAGTCTACGCCTCTAGCCATCACTCTCTTGTCAGTTATTAACTTTTCACAGATAGAGCTGGTTACTGAGAGGTTATGGAAGCTGCATGTAAACTTCCCACAAGGCCTTTAAACTATAAGGTGGAAAACACACAAGCCTTCTCCTGTGTAGCTGCCCAAAGGGGAGAATTTATTTAACTGGTATCCTGATTAATTTCATGTTCTATTCATTTGAGTGATTTCCAGAGGATTTGTTTGATGCAATTTGTTTCAGTGATTCAAACAGATATATGGCAGGAATAGCACATTTAAAGGTTTCATTCATTACCAAGTGTAATAGGGTATCTCCTCATTCAAGATTTTTATTGGGCAAGCCACTATGTATTTTAGATTATAAACTTTTGTGTACTAGGGGCCTCAAACATTTTCATGAATTTTTAAAAAAATGTTATTCAAGTCCTGAATTATTTAAAAAAATAATAAAAAAAGACATTAAAAATGATTCTCTTTGGAGAGTCTTTAACTTGTATGAGTCATAAACCCTGAAAGCTCACAATGAATGTACTGAAGGTAAATAATGCATTATGGTAGACAGTCTCGAAGATGATCCCAGTGATCTTCTTCCCTCCTCCAGGCATTTGTATCCTTGTGTTGTCTGCTCCCACACTGAATCGGATTGACTTGTATAACTACTAGGATTTTGTAGAAATAATATGATTTCCAAAGCTGGGCCTAAAAAAACATTATGGCTTCTGTTTTGTTCTCTCTCAGATTACTTCCTTGGAGAGAAACCAGATAATATGTTAAGAGGACACTCTTCCTAAGGAGAGATCCATGTGGCAAAAAACTGAGGCCTCCTGTCAATATTCAATGTCGAATTGAGACCTCCTGCCAACAGCCAATGAGGAACTGAGGACTCCAGAACAGTCAGTGTGCGATTGAGGCCTCTAGTTAATAGCCAATGAAGAATTAAGGCCTCCGGAATGGCCAATGAGCAACTGAGGCTTCCAGTTAGCAGCCACTGAGAAACTGAGGCCTCCTGCCAGCAGTCTTCATCAACTTGCCAGGCTAATGAGCAGCCCCTTCTGCAGCCCCAGTCAAACCTTCACATGGCTGCAGCTCAGAAGGACGCCTTGACTATAACTTTATGGGAGACCCTGACCCAGAACCACCCAATCAGCCACTCCAGAGGTCCCCACAGAAACTGTGACATGATAAATGTCTGCTGCTGTTCTCCACTGCTAAGTTTTGGGTAAATTGTCATACAGTAATACACAACTAATACTTACAGGATAATTTTATTATGAAAGTTTGGGTTAATTTATCATTTAATAGAATATGCATGTGTGTGTGTATTAGTCACTCCATTGTGTCTGACTCTTTGCAACCCCATGGGCTGTAGCCCACCAGGCTCCTCTGTCCATGGAATTCTCCATGCAAGAATATTGGAGTGGGTTGCCATTTCCTTCTCCAGGGGATCTTCCTGACCCAGGAATTGAACCTGGGTCTCCTACATTGCAGGCAGACTCTTTACTGACTGAGCCACAGGGAATATGCATTTAAGGATGTTAATTTTTGCAGATCAATCAGTCTCCCTGCCTCTCTCATCTGTAAAGTGGAGATCAGAGCCTGCTTATCTGGAATGTTGTGAGGATTAAGTAATTTCATATGCAGAGCCAGCAGGAAATGGAGGAAACATACAAAATACTGGCATTCAAGGTTTCAGAAGGGAGGCTGGAAGGCATTGTTGATGACGATTTCTCACTGAGATCTCCAACAGTTCTCTGCCCTTATGTCATATGAAAGGGCTCTGTAAACTGTGCAGTGCTATATAAATGTTATGTATTAGTTTTATTATGGTATTAGTTCTGGTATAGGAAACAGATTTCTGTTCTCAGTTACATATACACTAAACTTCAAATTAGACAAATAAACACTGGATAAATAAGACAATCTTATATTTATCAAGAGACACAGATATTACACCACTTAACTGTAGATAACCCTCCTGCTCTGTATGGCTGATTTTATCTCTCAGTGTCACCATCACTGGTGGTGTTCAGTGTTCACTATCGCTGGAGAGAGATGATGCCAAGACTTACGTCTTTAGCTCCAAAATCTACCTAGGTGTTAGGTCCACTGGAAATATCTGTATCTGCATTTTCTACTTCATAAAACAAGTCTTTAATTTAAATCATCATATTCCCCTCCAAAACTGCTTATCTTTAGTGCTATCCTGCTCAGGCAACCGGACATCAAACCTAAGACTCATCAGCTCCTGCCATTCACTCAACCTCAGACCATTCCGTTCTCTCTACAGGGCCTTTCAGAGCTGACCTCTCCTTTCTCACTGCCACTGACCTGGTTCATAAACTTGATAATTCGTCCTGGGGTTATTTTCTATAGGCTCCCAACTGATTTCATCAGTTTTATAGATGGTTTTTCCATCCTTGTGGTCTAATCCCTGTTAAAGATTAAAATACACATTCCCTCATATGAAACTGATGACCCTGGAAGACTTGGTCATGACCTACCTTCTGCTACAACCCCTGAAACAGCATACAGAACACTGACCAATTATGCCAGGAATTGGGCCTCCCCCTCCACCTCCCTGAGCCTGATGTTTCTACTTCCTGGAATATCCTATAATGTCCTTCCTGCCCATTAAAACTCTATTCATCCTTCAGAGCTTAGCTCAGATGCAGGTCCTTCTGTGATGTCTCTGGCTTTGTGTCACCCCCCATCCAGTTTCCCATTTCCTCTGGAATTAATTGCCCTTCTTTCTATGCTCCTTTAGCTTTTGGCTTCCCTTATAGCTCAGTTGGTAAATAAACATCCAACAGTGCAGGAGACCCTGGTTCAATCCCTGTGTTGGGAAGATCCCCTGCAGAAGGGAAAGGCTACCCACTCCAGTAATTGGGTCTGGAAAATCCCATGGACTGTATGGTGCATGGGGTTGCAAAGAGTTGGACACAACTGAGTGACTTTCACTTTCACTTTAGCCTTTTATTTGTTCTTTTGCTATAGCACTAACTCCAGTGTTTGGTTTATAATCAGTTGCGTGTTTATTTCTTAACTTGATTGTTTTCCTTTAGGACAAGAGGTGTATCCTGTGCCTCTGTCTGTCTCCTCATGCCTCACAGTGCCTGGAATACAGATGCTTGGGACTGACTGGACATAAAGTTGTGTAATATCCCAACCCTCCTTAAATGCTAAAGAACACAAAATCAATTTTAGTGCTGCTAACACTGAGGGCAAGTACAACCAAGAACAGAGCTTTTACCAAGTATTTACATTACAGCTGACAACCTAGAAAACTATTACCTTAGAAAAGTGGGTGATAAATTAAGAGAGGCTTTCAGAATAATGAACATGTACTTTGCCCTAGTTGTGCTTCATTGTACCAGAGATTCTACTTGAAGAACAAAACACGGAAGTATGGTGCACGCCTTACTTCTCTCTAAAACTGGATATAGGACTTCACCTGTGAGGAACCAAAACGGACGGTAATCTCATAAAAATGGAACGTGCAGGGTCTAACTTTTTTCTGAGAAAATATATCTAGTTGAACACTAAAATGTCACATCTCATGATGATTTATTTATATAAACTGAGTCGATATTGTTTAAAAGCTGTTTCAGACTTGGGGTTGATATGGTTTCATGGAGAAACATTAAGTATACAACCACTTGTAGCATATTTCAGTACTTCATTACAGAAGTAGTTCCTTAATTGAGGTAATGGTTTCTGGTCTTTTCAAATAACAGGCACATAAATGCCTAGCCAGTGATGACTCACCAATAACGAGCAGGGCATTTGTATCACAACTCAGAATCTTATGTCACTTCTAATGAAAAGAAAATGTTGTGCATGCATACATAGGTATTTATGTGTATGCATATATACAAATAGTGGGTATACATGTATGTATATGTACACACATGCACATACATATGTGTATGTCAACATGTACACATACATATAAGGCATTACATATATGTACCTGTGGCACGTCTTGTAATTTTACAACCAGAAATAGTCTTATCTCCAAAATATGCTCTTTCTTCTACCTGCTTCCATCGGTGTGTAATAAAGTCTGTCATAGAATCTTATCAAGCTTCCCTTACTGCACACCAATTTCTCAGTCGCCAATTCTGAGTGTGCGTTCACTCGCAGGCGTTTTATCTGCCCTGCTCTGAGAGGTATTATTAATCACATCCTGTTGCTAGGATACCTGAGAATGTTCATTTATGTCCGATGTTTCTTTGGCAAAATGCACTATGAAGGAGGCATAGAATCATGACAAGGGAAATTACTGTGCACGTGCCACTCATTAAAAAAAAAAAAAGCAGCAAGGGCAGGGAGAGTAACATGGCTACCAGATAATACAATGTGAACTCTTACGAATTCTTTTTTAATACCGCTTTGTTTCACTTAGCTTTTAATGGAAAAATGCTGGCAATATTTCTAGATAATGAGAATCCGCAGTACTTCTTTACTTCTTAGGAAAAGTGGAAGGAGGTAGGGTTTTAATTTTGTTTACTTTAGAAAAGGGGCTTTAAGATTTACTTGCTTTGGATGCCTCCATGAGAGATGGGGTTACTAGGTTACAGTGCTAGTTGATTTTCAGAGATAACCTAAACCCCAGGTCACCACTATTGTCATGTTTAGCTATTTTAATGAAAGACTTAAGAGAAAAGTAATCTACAGAATATGCATTTGGGTAATGGGAGAAAAAATACCTTTATCAATATCTTTAAAAATTACTGTTGTTTTGGATATTAGTATTCCAAAAATTCCTGCTTATCTTTGTAACATGAATATATAAAATTCACCTAAATGCAAGATTTTCTTAGTCAATCTCTTCCCACAGGAAACGGCATGATATATAAATGCGGACTTTGGAGTTAGATGGATTGACTTCTTGTCTTAACCACTGGTACCTATGGCTATGTTAACCCTGGAAAGTAATCATAGAGGATTTCCCCAAAACTTGTTCTTTTCTGTTTCCTCCTCCTTTTTCTAGTATGGGGTGTGTGTGTACAAGATGTGTGTGTGTATACACACACACCGCATACTGGAAAAAGGAGGAAATATATGTGTGTATATATATGTATATATACACACACAATATCTGTTTATCGATATATTATCTACCTATTTCTACCTAGCTACCTCTTATATTTCAACTGAAAGCAGAAACAATTTGAGTTTTATTTCCATTATTTTTCTAAGTGGTATTAACAGAGTTCTATTATTGTAATCATGCTAATAACAGTAGCTAATGTTTATTAAACAGTATCTGTGTGCTCACTGCTGTTATCAGCACATTATACATGTTAATTTATTTTATTTTCATAGTATTATGAGGCTTGTATTATGTATTATGAATATTTTATTATGTTTATGAATATAATTATGTATTATGAATTTTTAACCTATTTTCAGGTAAGAAAACATGGTAGAAATTTCTTAAATAACTTTGCCAAATCACTGATGTACTAATGGCAAATAAATAATGAGAGGACAAAAAATAGTTGGTGTGAAAAGGTAGAGAGGAGTAAGGAGTGTGATATCGATCCATAAGCTGTACATAATCAGTCTCTAGGTTTGAAAGTTAGCTTGAATAAATTATTTTGAAAAATATTTGTATAGACTTAAAAAACTAGCTGTCTATTATTTACCAGATTATTGGCTTGAATGAATGAACTGCTTATTTTTAACTGCTAAGTACCTGATCACAGTATTTCAGGAGCAGAATGTCAGAAAGACCTTCAGATTTTGAACTTTTTTTTAGTAGATTAGTATTTTTTTAGTGGTTATTCCATCGGTAAGTTGTGTCTGACTCCTTGCGACCCAACGGACTGCAGCATGCCAGGCTTCCTTGTCTCTCACCATCTCCCAGAGTCTGCTCAAACTCATGTCCACTGAGTCAATGATGCCATCCAACCATCTCATACTCTGTCATCCCCTTCTCCTCATGCCTGCAATTTGTCCCAGCATCAGGGTCTTTTCCAATTTATTTAGTACCTACTATGAATTTGGCACTCTAATAACACTTATAAATTCTTCACAATGAGCTGAAAGCTATTTTAGGCTTGGTGTTATATGACATCATGGAAAATACTAAATATATAATATATATCCATTTATATATTACATTTCAGTACTGAGGTATAGAAGTACTTCCAAGATTGAAGTGATTGCTTCTCATCTTTTAAAACCACAGGTACATATGTGGCAATCCCAATGATGTCCCACCAATAATGAGCAGGGCATTTGTATCAAAACTCAGTATCTTATGTCACTTCTACTGAAAAGAAAATTTTGTGCACACATATAGCTGTATGAATCTCTCGACCCAAGGATCGAGTCTGGGTCTCCCAGGCTTCAGGCAGATTCTTTACTGTCTGAGCCAGCAGAGAAGCCCATGGATGTCTTCAGTTCAGCTGCTTAGTCATGTCCGACTCTTTGCTACCCCNCACTCTCCTCTTCAACTTTCATCAAAAGGCTCTTCAGTTCTTTGCTTTCTGCCATAAGAGTGGTGTCATCTGCATATCTGAGGTTACTGATATTTCTTCCAGCTTGTGTTTCATCCAGCCCAGCATTTCTCATGATGTACTTTGCATATACATTAAATAAGCAGGGTGACAATATGCTTACTCCTTGATGTACTCCTTTCCCGATTTGGAAATCCTTTCCTGTTGTTCCATGTCCAGTTCTAACTGTTGCTTCTTGATCTGCATACAGATTTCTCACTTATAAAAATAGTAGGTATACACATATATATGTGTGTGTGTATGCATATATATTGGGGGCTTCCCTGGTGACTCAGATGGTAAATAATCTGCCTGCAATGTGGAAGATCTGGGTTCGATCCCTGGGTTGGGAATATCCCCTGGAGAAGGGAACGGCTACCCACTCCAGTGTTCTGGCCTGGAGAATCCATGGACAGAGTAGACTGGCAGGCTACTGCCCATGAGGTCACAAAGAGTTAGACCCAACTGAGTAACTTTCACTTCATGCATATACGTACATATAATGCATTACATATATGTACATGTGACATACTGGAGAATGTCACAAAATGGCAACTCATTCCAGTATTCTTGCCTGGAGAATTCCAGGGACAAAGGAGCTTGGAGGGCTACAGTCCATGGGATTGCAAAGAGTCAGACACGACTGAGTGACCAACACACACACACAAACACATGTGACATACATCCTGTAATTTTACAATCAGACATATACTAATCTCCAAAACATACTTTTTCTTTTGGCTTCTTCCATTAGTGTGTAATAAAGTCTGTCATGGAATCTCATCAAGTTTCCCTCATGCATACCAATTTTTCAGTCACCAATTCATGGAGTAGATGAAAATGACTTCCATTTTCCAGTGGAGAAAGAGTCTCAGAATATTTTTTGAAACAGCCTCAAGATTCCAGTTAGTGACTAGCAGGATTAGACTATGAACCCAGAGATTTGCACTTTTTTCTGAGTAATATAAGTGATTTGGGGCAGGTCTATAGAATGGTGAAGGGCTCTTCTGCTTAATCAATGTGCATTATTTAACCTCTTTAAATTGTATTCATCTGGCAATGGGGTTAATACTAGTTCCTACTTCACAGGGTAATTGTGAGGATTAAACAAAATTTTAATAATAATAAAATTTAATTTACATTTAAATTAAATATAATTTAATAATAATCAAAATGTTTTGAGTGCATAATGCAATCACATTTACAAGGTTCTCACTTCACTGCCTGGGAAATAGCAATGTAACATGTTGCCAGGTAATTCTCTTTATGAATGTTCCATGTCAGGCGTTCCCTGGTAACATACAATATTTCTAAACATTCTCAAGGTCAGTGGCTTTGTTTACACAAATATTATAAAGTTCAGCCTTTGAGAGTTTCTTGATATTTTTACCATCACTTCTGTCTCTCTTGCTTTCCCTTAGAATTTCTAAGTGAGAAACAGCTTTTTACTTTGGTGAATTCCTTTTCTCTCCTCCTCATGCTGTAACTCTTTCCAAATACAAACTGGTTTGATGAGACACACACTGACATGGCAAGACTCTCCCCAGTTGTAAGCTCAGATGACATGATATTAGAGCCTAGGGTGTGAGGTCCAAATCCCTGCCCACATCTGGTACTGACCAGCAGCTATGGAACTGTCAGCCGTCATGTGATCTAAATAGAAAGGGAGAGCTTTTCTAGAAACCAGAGGACCTCATTGCCAGAGATAAGCCGATGATACCACTCTAATGGCAGAAAGCAAAGAGGAACTGAGGAGCCTCTTGATGAGGGTGAAGAGGAGAATGAAAAAGAACTTGAAACTAAACATTCAAAAAACTAAGATCATGGCGTCTGATCCCATCACTTTCTGGCAAACACATGGGGAAAAAGTGGAAACAGTGACATATTTTATCTTCTTGGGCTCCAAAATCACTGTGGACGGTAACTGCAGGCATGGAATTAAGAGTCACTTGCTCCTTGGAAGAAAAGCTATGAAAAACCTAGACAGCATATTAAAAGCGGAGACATCACTTTGCTGACACAGGTCTATTTAGGCAAAACTATAGTTTTTCTAATACTCATGTATGGATGTGAGAGTTGGACCATACAAAAGGCTGAGCACTAAAGAATCGAGGCTTTCAAACTGTGGTGTTGGAGAAGACTCTTGAGAATCCCTTGGACTGCAAGGAGATCAAACCAGTCAATCCTAAAGGAGATCACCTTGAGTATTGACTGGAGGACTGATGCTGAAGCTCTAATACTTTGGCCACCTGATGTGAAGAGCTGACTCACTGGAAAAGACCCTGATGCTGGGAAAGACTGAGGGCAAGGGAAGAAGGTGACGACAGAGGATGAGATAGACTCAATGAACATGAGTTTGAGCAAACTCTGGGAGATGGTAAAGGACAGGGAAACCTGGCATGCTGCAGTTCATGGGGTCACAAAGAGACATGATCTAGTGGCTGAACAACAATGCCAGAACTTACTCCTTGAAACAAACAGTAAGATCTTGAACAAGTAACTTGACTTTTCCAAGATTCAAAGGTCTCTTTAGTTAGGTAGGTAAATACTATCCTCCAATAATACTGAAAGAAATTGTAAAAATAGTACTATTTTAAGTACTATACTACAGGGCAGGAATAGAGGTGCCACTGTAAAGAGCAGAAAGTTGAAAAACTAAGACCTGTTGTAT